TAAAACCAATAATACGCATGTGCAATGATTGTTAAATAAAGTACGTACCAAAATATCCAGTGCGCATGCGTATTAGAGAATTTCTTTGTTTGGTCAAACGAATACTCACAAGTTAGCTACAAGAACAGAGTTTTCAATTTGTGATGAATCTTGTAGTGTATTTATCAAAATGCATTGTTAAACAGCGATATTAAAAATTATTTTTTTTCGTCCATATTGCACCTTTAATGTATGATATGTGAGTGTGTCAGTTCCGTGCATGGAATACAACGGTTGTACACAGTCCCTCTATAGACTATGGAAGGACTGTGGGTTGTACAACAAGTACGTATTTACCTTGCCGTGTATTCAATGTTATTTAATTACAACCCACACATACATACAATGTATTTTGCCCAGGATATCACATTCCAGTCCGTGGTATTTGGGACTACATATCAGATTTGTGTCACCATGATCTTGTTTCACTGTGGAACGTTATATAATGCATCAAAACCACACATATATGTATGAACCTCGTTAATATAACATTGATTTGCCACCACTACCGCCATGCCCATGCCTTCCAAAACAGTTCAAATTCGAAAATGAATACTGTAAAATACTTTATTTTCGCTTGGAATTAATTTTCGCTATTTCGCTAAAGGAATGATTCAGTGAAAATAAAATCCAGCAAGTATAACTTTTTCCTATATTTTACATTCAACTTGTCAAAAATCAGTGAAAATAAATTCATACAAAATACTAAAAAAATCTTTTCAGCGAAAATAAAGTATTTTACAGTACCCCTTTCACAAAGTATCGTTTCTGAAAAAGGTGCATCCCTATACAGCCCATCACAAAAAATCACAAACATTTGTGAGCTGCCATGCAGAGTATGCGTATGCCCGCTCGGATATCATATCCGGTCAGAAATCCCTCTTCTCTTCTCTCCACGGACACCATACGTTGAAATTTCAAGATGGTTAGTTTCAATGATAAACGTACTTGCATGCATTAAAATGAAAACAAAAGACACTCCCAAACATTTCAGTACCGTCTGTTGTTTATTATGCAACTTTGTGTGGACGAACAATCATGGAGCAAAAAAATATGTTTTAACTCCATGCCGTGCTCCACGGAACAATGAAGTGATGAGCAGAACAGAAAAAAAAGACCCATATGTATACGATGTTTTAGCCTCGGCGGTTATTCCCCTGATATTTACTGCACAGAACACTGATGGTGACATCATGATGTTTTTTTAATGCCATTTAGTGCTAATTCACGATACAATTCTAGACATACGGTGGTACTTATAATAAACAAAGCTCACTCGAGCTCAAATGTATTATACAAAAATAATATTGCGGGTTTTATACAAACGAGCACTAACAGTACAGGAAAACCCAAACACGACGCCCAATAAAGAAATGATTCATTTGTATTTTCTGAAGCAGCTGGTTTATCATTTCACTTTTAGATGAATGTTTTTGTATACTGAATCAGTTATAATTTGTGTTTCGCTACGTCATTTGTAATGTTTTCATCTCTATTGTTTAAAATATTAATTGATAATCCTCTATAATTATTTCCTGAGTAAAGTGTTTTCTGGACAAACTTTGTCTTTCCTTCGTTTTCAGTTTCTTTAATTTCATAAACTGAACATTTTCTATCAGAGATTGGTACATTATTGTAACTTCTCATTTCAATCTATAAGTGATGGGTATTTTAATACTTAGTACATGTACATGTATCCTCAGTTTGGTCATTGCAGAGCGATATAGAATATGTTTTTAATTTTCTGTACGTCAGTGTACGTTCTCAGTTTATTTTTGTTTTTGTGCCTTAGCAGCTGCAAAGATACACATATCTTACGTTTGTTTAACAATGTGATCATGTCACTTGACAAAATTTCTGCACAGTGAAAATACTCGTAGACTGGTTCAACTACTACATAAAAATATTTTTTTAGATGATTTTGCAATGGGATACATGATTTCGAAAAAAAAGTATTTGGTTCATTTTGAAGCAGGCTTTTAAAGCTTCGTTTTTCATGTCTAGATGTGCTTTATCTAATGTACCAGTTATAGTTATCTCAAGATAAGTGTAAAAAGTTACTTTTTCTAACTTTTCATTTTTTTAATTTCAGTTTGTCAAGACATTGATTTGCTTTATTGAATATTATTAATTTTGATTTAGTTATATTAATTTCTATCTTATCTTTTTGACAGTTACATGTAATTTGATTCGTGACCCTGCTCTTGTTTATAAGCAGTCTTGCGATTGGTGCGTGACAAATTCTAAATATATCACGCCCAACTATGCCGGTAAAACCGTATACACTGCTTAGAATTCGTAAATGGAGTCATTCTGCTCAGTTTTCTTGATCTATCCTACTAATACCGGTAAGAGTGAAGGTAAGGCGTTTGCGAAATTTGAAATTAAGTTTGACTTTTCGTTAGTCCGATTTAAAATGTTTCTTGTTACATTTTCCTTGAATTGAATTTTAAAGGGCGGTAGTCGTTGCGCCACGCATGCACGAGGTATATGGGTCTCATATAAACAAAGATGGCGACTTTAAAGCGCGGTGGTCGTCGCTCAGCGCGTGTTCGAATTTCATGCAAATAAACAATGTATTCTACACGCGTTGTACTATACGTCGCTATGAGTCCTATATCGATCAGGACTGCCGCCCTTTAACTGTTCCGCAGATCATTGAGTACAAATTGAGGCGCTTCCAAGTTTTAATTAGGTGATTGGAAGGTATCGAAGTAGTCACTGGCGGTATTCAGTGCAAGTCGAGCCCAGGTTAAATCTCATACTTGGATTATAGGAAAATCAATGTTTATCAACACAAATGTCGCACATGCACAGCGCGACGACGACCGCGCTTTAAAGCACAGTCCATCTATCACAGAGGAACTGTGATTAAAGTACACGCTACTCATAAATAAAACGAATTATTATGAAGATAATTTAGAATTATCAGACTAATTGTTGAGAGAAGTATAAACACACTGCAATGCTTATGGTCGCCACTTTCTGAACCTGTTTATCATTTGGTTCTCCATTTGACATCTCCAGTTTCCTACTTTTATGATCATCTTTATCAATCAATAATTTAATTAACCCATTCATTATGATTAGATAATTTTCATGCTAATCAAGTCATGTTTTGTGCATCTTATGTTTTCTCGAATCAACTAAAACTTGGTATGTGCATATTAATAATCCAATTTGCATACAGGTGAATTATTTTATTATATTTTGATTTGTAACATAACAGTTTATTCAAGTGAATTGAAACTTGATACATGCCAACTGATTATGCAGATGCATTTCTGCATAATAAGTTAAAAAATAATATGTACATTGATTATCCAATTAACATAATGAGCTAATACTACCTAGTATAAGCAACATATTTGTTCAGTTGCGGACAGTGCTGTTTCAGATGCAAAGACAAAGTGATACAATTTAGAGCAGATAGAAAAAAAAAATTGCCACTATTTTACAGCGAATTTGCTGGATAAAAATAATATCGAACAGTGACTTGTCAATCATGACCTCAAAATAGTACATCCTATTTTTTTTTGCTTAGTATGGACATCTCTTGACCAGATTTCAGTGTATATAACGAGCGCCCCCAACGGTAGGTATTGTATATCTTTTCATTTCATTGGCTTATTCCTTGGGATTATTGCAGTATTTCCAAACCAAATACTCTAGAATAATATATTTTCCCTATTACAACACAATAATTTAGTGGGTTTATACATTTGTCATAATACAGTAGGTATATGGAAACTAGTGGGAAAAAGTATGTACCCTTGTACCTCACCTGCGCATGCACCAGATGGCCATAGCCTGTCGTTGTTTACAAACAAGCGTCTACCCATGAGCCTTTGCGTTTTTAGTGTGTGTTGTTATCGTCGCTTGGGACTCAATTCCCGTGCATGCGCAAGTGACGACCCTCTCGCTTTAACATATCACTGGCATCATGCAGGTTTTCCCTCAATTTGCACCATTTTGTATGAAATTATTTTTTAAACAAGGCTAATACAGTCAAAGGCACAAAGCTAGAGCTTTGCTTAAGAATGTATTTATCAAAAAAATGTAATAGCCAACCATAGCTTTATACCTTTCATTGTACTGATCAATAAATTGTACAATTCTACTTTGTTGAAATAATAGAATAAATCTATTCAGAAGTCACTACATTTTTTTCCTATGTTTTCTTCACTTCGAATAATGAATGTAACTACCCCCGGTATCTCACTTGGACCCCACAAAATCTACTAATGACCTAGTATGTATGATGTGATATATATCCAGACTTTCTAAAAAAAGGGTATAGTATGGTAAATCAAAATAATAAAGAGACTGTGGGTAAACATGGATTTTGAACAGACAATGAATTTATTTAAAAATCATCACACCTTTCCCGCTACATTAACATGAGAACATTATTTCTCAAAACTCATCTCAATGTACTAGTATTCAAGACCCAAATGAAATTGTCGCTGTTACAAACTTTTTTCAATGACCTTACATGTACATGTATTTTAAGCTGTTTTACATAGGACTTTGTAATTATCAAACATACAATACTAGTATTTTGATTAACAATATTCCAAATAGGAAACATTTGCATATTTAACAATAAATATTAATGTTGTACAGCTTGAAGTGAAATCTTGAAAAAGAAGTATAAGGTGCAAAAACTATACAAGGGGCAAATGTAACGTTTAATTCATCGCTAATAGTGAAATAGTGAAACACCACATGCATTCAAATTATATGTAAATAAATACATTTGGCACACAAGTTTGTATGCATATTATGGGACCCATATGAAACACATACATACTGTTGTTGCGGCTCCCACCCATTAAAGCTTGAAGTTAACATTGCTTTGTTAATTTCTTTTTATAAATAGATTATATAAATTATTCAAACTAGTTTTGATAGAAAAATAAAAACAAAAACACAAAATATACATTGTGGTTGGTGTGATATGCAATAGACAAAAAATAGACATGCTCTACAAGATTGCTAGTTTTCATGTAAATATCAAGATCTGTACAAACTGGTCACTTTTTTCGAAAAAAAAAAATACAATGTGAACTGAATTTATTTTAAAATACTGAAGATTATTACAATGATAATCTTCAGGCAATTTTAGTCAATGGTGTACCATGTGCAGATTTAGTGGTCTACACATCTAAATATTTATACAATGTATCATTTATTACTTATACCTTAGTTGCTTTTATGAAGTCTTTATCATATAAAATTATCTGCTCTCTTTACTATAAATATTCAGAGTTATAACGAAAAATTAATTTTCATGAATGATGTATAACCTTCCCCCCTTCCCTAAATCTCACCCAATGTTGAGCAGCATGAGAAGGTGGTGGACATAACTAGGTCAATTATGAATTTTTTTACTGTATTAAAACTAATAAATCATCTCATTTTGTGTGAATTAAAAATAATTAAATATACATCATAATAAATCTAAAATCATTGCAATAACAGTATATGTGACAGTTGATATATTTCAATACACTATTCTGACTGAGTCTCAGACTTATATAGGAATGTTTTCACTTCCTAGATGATCCCATTGACTTTAATAATTGAACACGCTCTGTTCCTATTGGAAAATATTGCCGATTTCAGTTGACAGCAGGATTTACCCAAAATGTGTCTTATTCATGTTCCGGGCCTACTTCTAAACATAAAACACTGTGGTATATGATTATTTTACCACTATTTTAACTATTGGCTGACTCAGAGACTTATTTATGGATGTTTTCACTTCCTAGACGAACCTTTTGACTTCAATGCTGGGGCCTGACGCGCTCTGAGTCTTTCTTCTTTTTTCTGAAAAACAAAAAACAGAATGAGAAGACATATAATAGAGTTCAAATCAACAAGAAATTTGTAATACAGAACAAATCACTGAGTCAATGCGAGAAATCTAATGTGCAAGACTTACTCGTTCTTGATATCGCCTTTCATAGAAATCCATGTCACTTTCACCAGGTTTTTTCAGGTGCGACATCTGGTCACTAAGTTTATCCATTTCACCAGATGTTATCTGCCCCCGTTGTGGACCACCTTCCAAACGGTTAATAGCAGTTGCATGCATTCTAAGGAATGGGTGATCGGAGGCCCCAACAGGTTGGTTCAGCCACTCCTCATCTGGAGCACCTAAAACATCATTATCAACATTGAATCAAATTATCAATCATATACAGTAATCTAAATCATACAAAACACATCCAATCTTCTGGGCAGACAACCAAGTATTTCCACCACCTGGCAACTATCACGGTGAAAAAAAAGATCGAAAACTGTCATAAAACTGTACTTTAGGATAATTGTCGAGACTCTCCTAAACCAGGCCCTGTCCTAAACAGTGTAAGTAGAGTGCTTAGAATTAGGAATAGATGATACACTGGTGACCATCTTAGCAACATAGAACGTTCTGTGACAAGGATAATTTTTTTTCATTCGCTTGCATGCTATTGAAAGTTTCAACATCTTTGAAATGAATGATTGCATTTATTGTATACTGAAACATTAAAATATTACTTATTTTGACCATAGAAATATTTCTATAGTTTAAATAAGTGCATGCGCTACTACGGTAATGCAATAAACAAATACAGTATGTCTGTTCTTCAATTCTCTAAGACAAGCCTACGTCACAAACTGGTCAAAATCCCCCAAACATTGCCAGCAACCAATCACAGACTAGCTTAAACAATAGCTTTCCTTGACGATAATACTTAGCAACGTTATTTCCCCCACGCTAACTTGAAAAATCTTTTGTTTTTGTCTCGTTTCCGTTTCCGGTCTGTCTTAGAGAATACTTGGATGCGACCATACAATGCCCACTTATATCTAGATTAATTACCGGATTCGGTACATGTAGCATGCAATATAAATTTGGCAATAGACGTACCACCCCACTGTCATCTAATCTCATATACCCTTCAGCTAGTGAACTGAATCCTGTTAATCCTCCCATAGCAGCGTATGGTACATCATATCCCACGGGATGACCACGTGCTTGTCTCTCATCTTTTGTTTCTACGATAGTCTCATGTACATAGGTTGGTTGGCCGCAGCTACAAGTGAAAGAACTCTTGAATGCAGCACAGATACAACCAGAACCTGTAGATAAAGGAACGATTAAAAGATACATGTCATACTACCACATCAATTAGTGTATTTTCAATCAATCACCATTAGTTGGATAACCAAGTAACAAATCAGCTGATCTTCCTAGCTGTATTGGGACTATAAGCAATGGATTTTTTTTTTTTTTTGGAAAGATTTGTACAATAAAATTTTACCTGCTAACATTTTGACTTTTTTATGTATTTTTCTATAATTATTCATATTGGCTACAGATTTCGATAAAAATGTTGGAAAATATAAAAAAAAGGGGACTTAGGTGCTTGCTCAGAATGGTTACAAAGTTAGGTGGAAGTTTGAGTTGAAAGTCAAATATCATCCCTGCTGTTCTTTTTTGGAGCTTGTATAACCCATTACATTAACGCTAAATGAAAAGAGATCTTTATCTGTTTTGGCAGGTCAAAGACCATAACACAAATTGTATGCACTGTGTTCAATAAATGAGTTTGATGAAGTCAAAGGTTTATTGAGTGTCCTGTAATAAACTCAATTCATCTGAGTCTCTTTAGAAAATTCCATAAATACCAGATAGAAATGTGACCAAGATATCATAGAATATCATAGAGTAGATTATGAGTATATAGCCATATGTAAGGTATACTTGGGTTATGACAACGGTCAACATTACAACCTCCTGTAATGCATTAATTGTTTAATTTTGGTATTTTTGTTGATAAGTAAAATTTGCTAAATTAAATTCATGTGACATGTAGAATAATAATAGAACTCATTGTTTGTCTGACAAGTTTGTGAACTTAACACTCTGTAAAAATGCTCAAAACATTAAAATAGTGAAAATAAATAATTTTACTGTTTTCATCAGTCACTGGCCGGTAGATTTTAGTTGGGACAAGTAACTAGAAATTCCCTATCCATATGGACATTTAAATAAAGATTCCAGTTTTCACTCACTTAATTGTCAAAAGCAGATTTGCAAAAACGTATTCTTTTAGACTAAAACGTATAATTGTTATCTTGATTACAGTATTATTGGTAGGGAAGGGTACAGGACGCAATGATCGTCATAGTACAAAGCCTATGTGATTTGTTGGCAATATGAGGCTATCAACATCAAAACTTTAAATCCATTGTGGTGAACAAAGAGACTGTTTACTACAGACCACCTACAAAAGAATAGTCTGAAGTATGGGCGTTGCTACCAAAAACTGAACTCAACATCCTGTCCGAGGTGCCTGGTAACGTGATAGCACACCTATTGTCATTCACAGCGTTAGTGAAAAGAACTGTATTTTCAGCTCCTTGCATTTACTGAATAGAAAATTCACTTTTTGTGTGACTAAGAAAATAAATAAATATATTCTACAGGACTACATACAAAAAAAAATAACTGATAAAACATTTCTCTTGTCTAGGAATTCATTAAAGTATGACCATTTCTTGTGAGGGATAACAACACAGCCTATTATCACATATTGTCAGTGTGATTTCCTTTGTCATCGTGTCCATCAGTACGGTATATATTGTCCATCCAACAATACTACTGGTTGTACACTCGCAATGACCAATATTACTGATAAATATTATGTCCTGTGCATGTGTCTGCCTATGGTTATAAAACTACCAAATAATCCATTACACTATAAGGTTATTACGAAGATACTTTAAAGTATGCACGAAGACAGTACAGCGGGAGTATCGACCGAGCACAACAATATTTGTTTTTATTATTAGAGGACACTTACGTGTGTAATCATTCCATATTTGGATTTCGCATTTCCTTTTATGGAAAATACTGCAAAATTATGACACGCTGTATTAGCTCATATTAACCAAAAACAAGTCATTAAAAATGACACAGTCCCCGTTAAGTTCTCTTTGTGCTCGTCATATTAAAGCGGAGGGGTTGTCGCGAGCGTGTCCTTGAAACTTGAGTTCCAAGTGGCGTATACAACAGATTGTTTATTTACATCAAAACACGTGTTTCGTGTCATAGTAATATGGCCAAAATAAAAACAGCCGTTATTCAGCCATCTTTGATCTGATTATGAAACACACTGATATGTAAAAGTATGATGTATG